AATCATTTTAATCTTTAAACTTACAAATTTTCTAATTTTTAATTTCTATCATTAATTTTTTAATGTGTTTTATTTTGTATTGACATGATAAAAGTCTTTAATTTTATAAGATAAAAAAGTATATTAACAATGGATATTACAAGTACGGGTAAAAAAAAGACATAAAATATTAAGATACCTAATTTAAAATAATTCTAACAAAATAAATTTAACATCAAATATACAAAGTTAAATTAATACCTCTGTAATGTCAGCACGAAAAAGATAACATTATAAAATAAATTTACGATATGTTAGTATAAAGTTTAAAAAAAATCTATCTCAAACAATAAAAACTCGCAAAAATTGAAAAAGATAAATATAAATACTAAAAAAATTGTTTTAAATTATAGAGAAAAAAATATATATAAAAATTAAAAAAAATATATTTTAATCTCGAATGTTTTTGTCTGCTCAAATTTTACATCAATTTTTTAACGGCTGATGTACTGATGTAGAACAATAAATTTGTAGCAGTGATCACAATGAATCAGCACTCTTGTCTTTTCACTAGTAATTGTTAATACTATCATTTTTGTCATCATAATATATTGTGCTAATAACATGGTTTCTTAAAAATTAAAACTTGTCTCCAATTAGACCAAAAGTATAGCCATTGTTTATGTTGGAGTCATTTGAAAGGATATTGTATATAATCAACATCATTGTATTAATCTCATATGACAATAATCTTAGGTTCATAATCATTTGAAAAGCACATTAATGATTATATAGTAACCTCATAATATAAGTTATATTTGGTTTAGTGTAATCGGCAACGTACCGGAGTGTTATCGATTATATTCGCACACTTAGATTGATTAATATTATCATTAGAGTTTTTAAACAACTTAACACTAGGATCACATAGATACATATACTGAATTACAATGAAAGTAATCATATTTCTTTAAAATCTACTTAGGAATTGTTAACACATGGAAATATAAGTTCTCAACCTTCTTGTCTCTTCATTAGTAATTATTAATTTTTAATACTAACATTTTTGTCTTCATAATATATTGCACTAATATAGTTTCTTAAAGACATTGTCCCAATTAAGCAAAAAATGTGATCATTGGTTTCCTTAGGGTCATTTGAAAGGGTATTCTAATTGATATCATTGTATTCATCCCATATAACAAAAATAAAATTTGATAATGTAATCTTAGGCTCATGATCCTCTGAAAAGCACACCAATGATCGTTAATAAGATGGCTGGTAAAGCTACGTAACATCATAATATAAGTTATATTTGGTCTAGTGCAATTGACAACATACCAAGTGTTACCAATTATATTCACATACTTAGATTGATTAATATTGTCATTAGTGTTTTTGAAAACTAGGATCACGAATGTATATGCTGAATTACAATCAAAGTAATTATATTTCTTGAAAATCTACTTAATCTAATGGAATTGGTTAAAAGAAATTTCTTTTTTAGTTATAGTAATTTTAATTTCAAGTTCACCTAGGACCTTGTCAAAATTTCAAAATATAATTGAAAATTAATAAGTAATATATGTATAGACAAATAATGATGCAAATAGTGTTATTGATTTATAATATACGCAAATATCACATTCATTACTTTTGAATTCATTATCATTCTATTGGGATTATGGAGATCTTACGAAATCGGGATTATGGAGATCTTGCTGAATCTTCTATTCTGTAATTACTGATTTAATATCTTCCATATTTACTATAATTATCTTGTCATATTTGTTAATATAGGATAACAATCTGTACAGATTATATTTAGGAATAGTTACCTCGTAATTAGCTAGAATTGAGGCAACAATTCCTGAACACTGTGTATACATATATATGTCTGGACAACAATAAAGGGGAGCAAGAATTGCATCACGAATTCTTCTTTATATGGTACCAGAGCTCTATCTGGGCTATCACTGCCATCATGGCTGAGGAAGACAACAAGAACAGAGACAACAGAGAAGACATAGTAGCAAGGAAGACAATCTCACCCTATGACATCACTATAAGTGACAATCCAGGAAGCCTTTTGACGCTGGTTCAATTGAAAGGAGAGAAATCAAACAACCAGCAGAAAAATCATCAGATCTTGAAGATTGGTGGACCAATAACTCGTTATTGGTGTCATGGATAATGAACACTATTGAACCGACTCTCCGCTCAACTATATCGCATATGGAGGTGGCTCAAGACCTATGGACAGATATCAAGGAACTTTTCTCAATAGCGAATGGGCCATGCATTCAACAGCTTAAAGCAGAGCTAGCTGAATGTAAACAGAAAGGAATGACTATTGTTGCTTATTATGGCAAGTTGAAGAAGCTATGGGAGGAGTTAGCAAACCATGAGCAGATACCTACGTGTACGTGTGTTGCGTCTAGCAATCCATATTTTTAAACAAATAAAAGAGTCCAACCATCCATCGCGAATGCCGAAAGCCCGTTTCGGGCCGGTGGCGACAGCACTCTAGAACAAAACACATAGAAATCAAACATCATTTTTTAAGAGATCATGTTCAAAAGAATGATTTCTCAATACACACATCATCATTATTATTATGCATTCTCATCATTCATTCATCACATATTATAACATCAATATCATCATCATCATTGCACCTCAAATGTAATCGCATACCATAGCATTATTCATTATCATTACTCGTATTAATACATCTTATATCAAGGTAACTTCACATATGACATCATCGATACTTACACACCATAATACACCCTTGTTGCCAATTCCTTACAAATTACTATTCATTAATTTAGTCTCTTAGTATACAATATCAATCTATTTTAATGGTTCTTCATTTATTAATAAATTCATAAAATAAAGCATCTCAGAAAGAAAAAGGCATGGCACCTTGCAAGAATGGGTTAATCATTTCTACCCTTATGCCTTATCCCTCAAATATGTCTAAGGATTCGACAATCTCACTCCCTCTACTTAGAATGATGATCTTGTTGAATAATTCGCTTCTTGTAGCTCCAACCGCTAATTGGTGCATTCTCTAGTGGTTTCTTCTAGATTTTTCTTGTGAGTGCTTTAGGTTTTAGAAACACATAATAACTTAATCTGTTCCCACTTTCTTCTTTTTAATTAGTTTATGAGTTGGACCTAAAGTCTAATCCACAATCTCTTGAATTACCTCTCCCCATTTTATTTTATAAAAAATATTTCTCTTATAACATTCTAATTATTCTAATTTATTCTATAAAAAAAATGAGATATTACAATTTACCAATATATTGTTTTTAAGTTGGATATAATAGACTTGTATATATTTCTTATTTTACTTAAAGTATTTATAAAATTGACAAGTTTTTTTTGGCACCATAAAGGTTTTGTTTTAGAATTTAAAAAGAATTTAACTTATATTAAATTTAAATATTTTGTTATTTTAAAATGTAAAATGGTAAATATATTTAATTATTTTACAATTATATATTATAAATATAATATTATTATATTTATAATATTCATAATTTTATAAAATATATTTTGAATATTTATATGGATTAATAAAAAAGTTATTAAAAGTGGGAGTCTCAAGATATTTTACGTCCCCACTCCATTCTGCTTAATAAAAATGAATTCAAAAATTTAATTCACGTTGTTTAATAATTAAAATAAAGTTTTTATATTACTTAAAAAATATGACGATTTATTATTATTTATCAATATATTATTTTTAAGTTTTATATATTTTTATATATGCTTTTTATTTTACTTAAAATATTTATAAAATTGTAAGATTTTTTCTGTGAATATAATATATAATAATTTTGATCACTTATGAAGGTAATATTTTTTAGTATAGGAATTGTATACTTGTATTTTATTGAAAATTAAAATATGTAAACTTAATGTTTCAGTAATAAATAAATTAGACACATTAATTAGTTTTTTGAATAATGAAAAAAATAGAAAGTGAAGAAAAAATACTTTTAAAAATTAAAAATTAAGAATTAAAAATTAAAAAGACAAGAAAATACGATATAATTATAAATTTAAAAAATAAAATTTTAAAATAAATAAATAATTTTAAAATGTTATTTATAATATTAATAAAAATATGTAATTTATAATATTTAAAATAAAAAAAAGGGGCGGAGGAGAATTTTTTACGTAAATAATTTTTTTTAAAATTTTTTTTACCAAAATAACATCTGTTACACTTTATTTACACAATTAGAACTGATTACTGTTCAAACTCAGAATTCGGTTTCCCGGGAACCGAATTCTAAGCTCCAAATTTTTTTTTTTTGTGATCAGAATTTGGTTCCTCGGGAACCGAATTCTGAGTTGTTTTTTTTTTTTTGGCGTTTGTGGCCCAGTCTGCGTCTTGGAAGTGGAACGGGCCGTTCCGGAAGCAGAACGGCCCGTTCTGCTTAAACACATAGAGTGTTTTTTTTGCCGTTCCAATTTAAAAAAAAAACACTCTATGTGTTTAAGCAGAACGGGTCGTTCTGCTTCTGGAACGGGGGCCGTTCTGCTTCTGGAACGGTCCGTTCCACTTCCAAGACTCGCGAAAAATGAGCCACAAACAAAAAATAATAATAAATAAATAAAAACAATTCAGAATTCGGTTTCTGGGGAACCGAACTCTGATAAATAAAAAAAAAAGTAAAATTTGGAGCTCAGCATTCGGTTCCCGGAGAACTGAATTCTGAGTGTAAACAATACTCGGTTCTAGTTGTGTAAATAAAGTGTAACAGAAGTTATTTTTGTAATTTTTAAAAAAAATATTCTATTTATGTTAAAAATTGGGGGCGGGGAGGGGGGGATGGATTTGAGCGGCAATTTTTTTCTCAACTTGTGACACGTGACCAACTTTTATTAATAGTAAGATTGACGTTGTACCGTATAATTCATGTTTCAATGGCCCACTTATGTCTTTTCGAATGATGATTTTTGCCTTTTGGGGATTAGTCTTTATGAAACAAAGGCTACCACTACCTATCATGCTACCAGAAACAAGGAAGGGTAATTAACGTTAATGTGTTCATATGTATGATGGGAAGCTTATAACAAATTTCAGTCTCAGAAACCGAGTGTTAAGGGAAGAACTCCACAAATGGAGACACCATTAGTGGCCCAAAAGTTTACCTCAGAATCTGACTATTTGCCGGTGAAAAGGTTTGAGGATGTTAAATTTGTTTTGTGGACAGAGACAGTGAAGATATGGAGGATAGCATTACCAGTGGCATTGTCCCAGCTATTTCAGTATCTCACAAATTCCTCAGTTTCCATCTATGCTGGTCATATTGGAGACATTGAACTCTCTTCTATCTCTGTTCACCAAAGTGCCATCAGTTCCATCTGTTTTTACTTGCTGGTTAGCACCTCTATCATTCATCGTGTTTTTGTTTTCATTTGATTTCTGAGCACAAAAAAATGAAGTAACCAAATCCATTATGAGTAATTTATCTGTCTCTATGCCCAACCAAAAGACAATTAGTACTAGTAAGTAAATGTATTATTGTTAAAATCGTTTTTTTATTTTAATTAGTTCATGTGTATACCCTTTTTATTTTCTTTTAATCCACGTTGTTTATTGTTATAAAAATAAAAATAAAAATTATGAAACTATAGTAACTAAAAAAACAAATAGTATGTATAAGAATTAAAATAAAATATTTTTAACTATAAAGATTAAAACATAAAGTTCATGAAATTATGAAAATTAAAAAAGTAATTAAACTTATTGTTATGATTACTATTTTTTCATATGATCTTTTAATTTGTTTTTTTTATTATTTTATTATTATTATTATTATTATGTATCTGACATTCATGAGTAAACTTGCAGTTTGGTATGTCAACTGCCCTGGCAACACTTTGTGGCCAAGCTTTTGGAGCAGGTCAAATTCAGTCTACTTGTATTTATGTTCAAAGGTCATGGATTATACTTACTATCACTTGTATAATCCTATTGCCTATTTATGTATTTGCCACACCAATCTTAAAATTGCTTGGCCAGGATGAAGGAATAGCTGATCTTGCTGGCACATATTCTATACAAGTAATCCCCTTCATGTTTTCCTATGCTATATCTTTTCCCATCCAGAGATTTCTTCAGGCACAGGGCAAGGTTAAAGTTATTATGTGCATAGCATTTGTGGTTTTGCTTATACAAAATGTGCTGCTTTACATATTCATAAGTTCATTTGGTTGGGGTACGACCGGCTTAGCCATGGTGACTAATATCATAGGGTGGCTCTATGCTATGGCTTTGGTTTTCTATACCATTGGTTGGTGCAAGGAAGAGTGGACTGGATTAAATTGGATGGCATTTAGGGATTTGTGGGCCTTTGCTAAGTTAAGCCTTGCATCATCTGTTATGATTTGCTTAGAACAATGGAATGTTACAATCATCATGCTCCTTGCTGGTCGATTAGAAAATCCTGTGATTGCTGTTGGTTCCTACTCAATTTGGTAAGATGATTAACTTGAACTAATTTGCAGATGTTTAGATTGGTTAAAATACAACTTAAAACTCTTATTATTTCTTGGTTTTCCTCATATATTACTTTTGTATTCATAGCTTCAATTTTCAAGGTTGGTACTTCATGATACTCCTTGGAATAAACACAGCCATAAGGTGAGTGACTATAAACTAAACACGTGCAACATCAGTTTTAGGTAAATGAAATCATATTGAATTTATAAGAGTAGATACATGCTATGTCATCACTAAACAACAATTGTGATCATTTAAAAAAATTAAATGTGAAATGATCAAACTGATACAAATTTACCATCAAAAGTGTGGGTTAATTGGCACCGAATTATTTCAGTTTGGTCTCGAGAAGATCAAATTCAAGTCCCAAATATGCAGTTACATACTAGTTTTTATAGCAAAATCTAACAAGGATTTTTTGCAAAAACAAAAATTACAATACATATTAGGAACTGAAAGCACATTTAAAGATATATATTTTTCATTTGTTTCTATTGATTCTTCAACTGATTATGGGTCCTATACCCTTCAAGTGTTCGTGTCTCCAATACACTTGGCATGTCGCATCCAAGAGCGGCCAAATACTCATTCTGTGTGACAATGTTCCAGTCTCTCCTCCTTGGTATTCTTTTCATGGCTGGTGTTTTTTTGACTAAAGAAGACTTGGCCATCATCTTTACCAACAGTAAGGATATGATAGAAGCTGTTGCTGATTTAGCATACCTTCTTGGTGTAACAATGGTTCTCAATAGCGCTTCACAGGTTATGTCAGGTGATTGTTTGCCTTGGAAACTTGAAATTAATGTTCATTTTGTAACTTATTATCTCCATCTCATGAGTGTTCTTACGATATCATATATACCACTAATTCCCAATTTCTCTATTTTTTTTTTTTGTTTTTTGACATTTACCATAGGTGTGGCCATTGGAAGTGGATGGCAAGTTATGGTTGGTTACATAAACCTGGCATGTTATTACATTGTTGGACTCCCTATTGGAATTTTCCTTGGTTTCAAGCAGCATTTAGGGGTCAAGGTTGGAATGTTATTGCTACTGGAAATGTTTCTTTTCTTCAATGTCAAAGGCTTCTTAGTATATTTACAGTGCAATTGTCTTTGTATCTTGAAACCACAGTTTGATCTCCAACTTATCAATTATGACTTTTCTTTCCTTCAAATTTACACTCAACTGGTTTTTTTATTAGGGTCTCTGGGGAGGCACGATTTGTGGCATTATTCTTCAAATTTCAGTCCTCTTACTGATTATTTGGAAGACCAATTGGATAAAGGAGGTAACCAACTAAGATCTTTTTTTTGAATAATCAGCTGTGTTTTGATACCCAAATCCAATTTTTGGCAGTAATGTTCTGTAAGCTAGTTATTTGTTTTTGTTGAAATTTTCTAAAACCATGAAAGATATGCCTGATGATTTGATTATTAGTGGTTTGGGTATGGATTTATAGTACAATATCATTAGCTGAAAATATTTCTGGAAGTGTTGCTTGTTTGTTTGTTTGTTTTCTATATAATCCAAAATATTTTTCTAGTATAAAACCTTCGTAATCTGCAATTTAATACTTGTAACTCACTTGAGTGTTTGAATGCAAAAAGTTTTTGCTTGCATTTGGTGGCTTTATGTTTTCAATGTCTAGTGTAACTCATGAGGAATATGACTGCAGGTGGAGCAAACAGCACAACGCATGCGAATATGGAGCATTAACAGTATCGACTAGGACGTCTCAGAAAATGTATAATGAGAAAGGCTCTATTCAAAAAAATCATTATCATTTAAATTTATTAACATTTTCAAAATTATGTGAAAAATTCTTTTAACGAGAAATAATCTTTAGATATTATTGAAGACTGTATTCAAAAATATATTAATTAAAAATATTTGTTTATGTGAAAAAACATTTAACTTCATGATTTGTAATAAAATTTAAATCATAATAATTGGTTTGGCGATAAAAAAACTGTTAAATACATGTATCTTTAGTTAGGCAGGGATTATGTTCATCAGTTCATGTGTATATGCCCTTTACTTAAGGCCGATTGACCTTATAAAATAAAAGGCATGCAGCGATATGCCTATATTTGGTTACGCGTTCATGCAGCTATATATGCCTATACGTAAAACAAGGTAGAAAACTTGTAGAGTTTTTTACGTATCCGTCTTATTCTTCGATCAGAATTAAAGATTTAAAGGATGTATTAGATTAAGATATTATATGATTTTTTTAACATAAAAAATATTTTTAAATTTTAAAAAATCATATAAAAATTTAGTGACTCTTAAGATTTTTTCAAAATATTTTATAAGAATGTAATAAATTTGAGATTTTTTTAAAAAAGATTTTTTTAATCAAGATTTTATACCATAATTTTTAATGAATTTTTATCTTAATAACTTATAAGATTTGAAAGAAATTTATAAGATTTTAAAAAAAAATTCAAAAAGCAATACAATTTTTCTACATATAGAAATGACAAGGTTTAAATAAAGAAAATAAAATAAATAAATCTTTCAATCTTTTAATAAATAATTAATTTTGATTTTATATTTTCTTAAATAACATTTCTCTACATACAATTTTTTATACATTTATATTTTTCCATTTATACTATTGAATTTGAAAAATATGTTCAAATTTATGATATTCTTGATAGAATTATCAAAAATATATTAATTTGAAAAATATGTTCAATATTAAATTTTATTAAAAATAAGCATTTGTTAAAATTTTAATAATTTAAATTTTTTAATAATATATAATATTTAATAATTTAAAAATAATTTTAAATATTTAATAATTAAAAATAAAATATTGATAAATCATATATCAATATTGATAGATAAAAATGTAACAAAAAAATATTGGTAGATAAAAAAAAGATAAGATTTAGAGAAAATAAAGAGAAGCCAAAATAAATAAGAGAGATAAACAAAAAGAGAAAGAAAATGAGATAATTAAGACATGAGAAGAGAGAATGAGGAGAAACAGAGAGGAAAAAAAAAAGATTAGATAGGAATTAAGGAAGAGACAAAGAGAGACAAGAAAAAGAGGCAAAAGAGAAGATGAGAGAGAGACACACAGGTAAAAATGATGAAGGAGAAAACAAATGAGAAATAAATAAGAAAAAAGTTATGTAAAGTTTCAATGATTTTAATGAGATTATTAGATGAGTGAATTATATGAAATTTTTTTTAAAATCTATCTATTGAAATAATTCATTGAAATATTTCTATTTTTGAATACTTATAGAGTTTTTTAAATGAAAAAAAAATAATTGAAAATCATTAAATTTTAATATTTTTAAATAAATTCTAATTATTTTAATTAAATACTACATAAATTTTTATATTGAATAATACAAGACTATTTTATAATAAAAATATTAAAAAAAATTTAAATCTCAATTCAATACTCCTTCTCTATTTTAGTGATATACACTTGTATTTAATATAATTTTCATTATTATATATTATTACAATCCTAAATCTTAAATAACACTTACCACGTCTTAAAAATTCTAGCTAAATTTTATCTTAAAACGAAACAGTACTAACGACCATAATTGATCTTGAATTATACCTTTTAATATATAATTTATGTGACGTACAAAGAGACACATAATCATGAAGTTTAAATTAGTCACACTACTGCCAATTATCGTGTGAGGACCGTGAGAAGAGAGAAAAATATAACAGTACTTGCAAAATTATATTGTTGTTGTAAAATTGAGAGAAAAATAAAATTTTTGTAAACAACGAATGGGAAACTAAAAAATATTTTTTATTTTTTATTTAAAATGTATTTAAGATAAATGTCTTCGAAAAAATAAAATTTAAATAAAAAGTCAACGTAATCAATACATTAATAGATTATTAATTTTTATGTTTAAATAACACAACATTGAATTTTTATTATCCTAAAACATAAATTAGCTAAGTAAATAATTCTTATCACTACTAAGCTATATTTAAGCTTATTCACATAATCACCAATACTCATCACATGTCACATAACTCACATTAATATTTTATATATTCTCAATCCTCATTATTAAATACATATTTTTCATCTAAATCTTCTACTTCAATTTCATCAATCAAGATTAATTCTATTTACATGAATATTCAATTGTAGACACAAGGTAGCGCCTGTCATGACTTACCATATACCCAACACGTTCAAGGCCGCAAGCCTTTGGAAGGATCATGCCTCGTGTTGAGATTCTACTTTGGGTTAGTTTCTCTTCTTGTTAAATATAAATATGTTTCTAACCATGGATCCAAAACATGATAAATATACCGGTCATACAAGTAATATATCAAAGATCGTATTCACATGAACTAGATAAGGTAAAATAAGCATTTAATGACTATTATTATCTAAAAAATAATTTCATATTGTAATGTGTGTTAAGTATAAAAGAAAATAACATAAACTACTCCAAGGATAATTTTTTCGAATAGTTTGTATGCAAAAAATACATGAAATGATATTGTGGATTTGTGATGGTTAGACTTCACTAAACATCACTCTCATGCAATTAATTATTCTCTTATTACATACATTATTTAATTAACCTACAAATATACTCAAATCTAATCCCTTAGAGAAAGAGCCTAAGAACATATGTTGAACACCAATCCCTTGAGTATCCAACATAGGAACCTACATTAATAATGACTAGGGTTTGAGACTACTAATGGACCAAGCTCCATTCTTAAAAATATTTACCACTAGGTATTTTGTTTTAGAGCTAGTTTCAAGGGTTATTTTTCAATACCCAATGGACCCTATATCAAGTAATAAGAGATCAATCCAAATCAAGCATTAAGAATAGAAACATAATACAACAATGAATGAAACAAATATTTATCATTAATAGGATATAGATGACACAAGAGTTTAGTTCGTTACTTCTAACCCCACAAAAAATGGGTCTAGCTGCTCAAATCTATGAGGGGAAAAACAAAATAAGAGATGGAAAAACCAAAGGAAAAACCCACACACAGTATGGTCCCAAGTATCAGGAATCCCTTCCATAGCTCCAAGGCTTCGTCCTATGTGTGAATGAGGAGAAACCCTCAAAGTTTTGCCCTAAAACGAGCTAGGCAGCCAAGTTAGAGGACTCACGCTCAACGCCATTTAGTTTCACGCTAAGCGCTAACGTGTTCCAGAGCCTAGTGCTCTCTAGCTTGAACCAGGCTCGACGCGATTTTCCAAGCCCAACGCAAATGGCTTTTCTAGCTCCTTAACTCTTCAATTTTAGCTTTGGCAAGTCCCAATCCCAGGGATCCTTAACACCAACCTTTTTTACTCAATACATACATAAAAAGGAGGTGTATTAAGGTATTATTAGATGATTTTCAAGTTAGATATATATGCACAAAAAATTGGGTCAAAAGAGGATAAAGAATATGGAAAGTTGAATCAAAGAATTAACATTGCTTAAGAATTTGTAACTGAAAGTAAGTAAATATAAGCCTTATCACCAGGTGTGACTCTTTTCACACCTAACGAATTTCACATAGGAAGCATTTGGATCTCTCATGCCCGATGTGATCAAGCTCACACCCGGCATCAACAATGTCAAGAGCATTTTATAGCTCTCATGCCTAGCGTGCACCTCCTTACACTAGTGTGATTGTCATAGAGGGATCTTTGTTGTTCTCACATCTGGCAACCCCAAGTGGCACCGACACGTTATCAAAATAAAATGTGCTAACAATGACATGACACAATTAAAATATATAATTGGTTGTCAGTGTAAAAAACTTTACACTGGTAGTGTAAAGGTGCTTAACTCATTAATTAATTAATTGTTTTTATCTTTTATGTTATCATTTATATTCTATTATCTTATCAGTTAGTTAATCTTATCTCTTTTATTCTCTTGATATAAAATTCTAGCAAGAAGGAACAGAGTTTTTTTTTTCTTTGAAAAGTTTCTCTCTTTGACATGGTATGATGAATGACCATCCTTGGTACTTCATGTGAAACCCATCACATGGTTCATGGCTATGACCAATTTGAGTAGTATAGTATTTTATTGCTTTATTCCAAATTTACCCTTGTACTTTAGGGTATTTTAGTCATAGAATTTATTTTATTTTATTTTCCAATTTTACCCTTGTATTTTGGGGTGTTTAGGACTTAGAATTTATTTTCCCTTGTATTCCCTATTTTACCCTTGTATTATGGGGTGCTCTAGATGATTAGGGTTTTTAATTTTGGGCTAGGGTGTTAATTAGAGGGTGACGCATGTTTTTGGTGTTTTTGGGTCTATTTTTGGTGTTAGAAAGGCTTAGGCCCAAGTGGAGGGCAAACGTTGCATGGTCTTATCATACACCTAGATATAGCCAATCTAAACCCAAAGATTCCATCCTTGGCCACCAAGTTGCATCTAGGGTTCATTTGCATTTCATTTGGAATGCATTTGCCTACTCCAAATGCAACCCTAGATGCCTCCCCTCCTATAAATACCCAATGCCCCACACCTTGTAAATACTTTGGATTATATGAATTTGAGAGAGCATTTCTTTGCCTCAAATCCTATCCTTAGTCCCTAGGTTAGTTCGGCTAGCCCCCTTCATTCTCCACCCTTGGAGAGTGAAACCCTAGAGTGACCTCCACCTACACTTGGAGTGAGCCAACCTTGAGCAACCCTAAACCATACACCATACACTTTCGCCCAAACACCACCTTTTCACACCTATCTTCCTTTCTCCAACATAAACCTCCCTTTGTCCAACCTTTGATGAGCCTAGATCAAGGGCAAGGTCTCTCCCTCTAATCACTATCATCAACCATGGAAGGAGGGACTCCATCAAGTGGTATCTAGAGCCAAGGATCATCAAGGGTAAAACATAGTCTTCCTTGTCTTTGTGTCATTTTTTCCATTCAGTCTTTGTCTCTCTTTTTGCCTTGCTTTGTATGAACGAATGCTTGTGGTTCATGTTTTTGT